TTTCATTTTTTTCTTTTTAATTTTAATCATAATAATTTATAGCATATATAAATCGCTTAAAATTCTGCATTACTTTAATCCGGTTAAGTGCTATTGCTATTAAGTATACCCTTTTTTGTAAAATCATTTCACCCTACGCAAGGTGATAGTGCCACTAAGACGCAAGGGGCTACTTGGAGTAAAAATGAACGAAAAGAATTTAGAAGGAACCGGAAACCCAATCCTCAACAGCAAATAAGGGAGAAAAATTTACTCCTGTCAAAAGACAGATGGGGAGGGTAAACCAGACGATAGGCCAACCTATCCATTCCAATTGAGATAAAATAAAAAGTAAATAAAATTTCAGAGTTTAGACTGAGACGTTAGAAGTATAGAGTTGAAGTAGACTTTAGAAGTGTTGTAGAGTAGTTTTCACAGTGGAGGCTTGTATTTCAATAAGTCGTCCTAAATTAGGTTCGATGTACAAAACGCTAGGAACTTGAAATGAGAGTTAATGACGCAGCAAATCTAGTTGTGATGGATGATACTTCAATGTCCGACAGACTCACTCAACACCACTGAGCCCAACTGGCGACCGCTACTACTTCTACAACTTATTATGTGTGGTAGAGTCTATTAATAATAGAATAGGTACATCAGGTATAACAAGAAGGAACCGGAAACCCAATCCTAAACAGGAAAAAAGGGACAAATCTCTACTCTTTTTTAAAAAACCGGAGAGGAGTCTAACCCAGACGACAAGCGAACCTATCTAATCCTATTGTCCCGCTAAATAAAACGTTTATAGTTAGAAGAAATAATTTCCCTGTTTACGGAAAGGAAATTAAAGAATCATACAGTGAGAAATGGACTTTAGACTCGTCACTTTTCTCAGCTGGACTGCACACGTAAGGACTTGTCTTACGCTTTGCTATTTTGCTGTCTTTCACATGATACACTGAAATGTATTGACTTATTCTGACCTGGCTATTACTTTTATGAGTTGACAACTAGCAGTTTTATGAGATAATGTCTTTCCATGAAACAATTGTTTGCTTATCCTCATAATTTTATTACAAGACGAGAACCGTCATTAGTTTGCGAGAGTCCAGCGTTTTCTGCAATATAAACCTTCCATAATGTTTTTTTGTTCAACGTCCTTCAATATGTCGTCGTCGTCATCATCGTCATCAGTCTCATGACCGTATATGGTCATAGGTTCGGTGCGCATTTAAGCACCTGACCTCGGTTTCGTGTCAGTGTCGGAATCTCTGTGAAGGACCTTCCAGGTGACTCAGTGACATTGTGGAGGATATATATATATATATATATATATATATATATATATATATATATATATATATATATATATATATATATATATATATATATATATATATATAGAGAGAGAGAGAGAGAGGGAGATTAAATGATAAAAGAAGAGAAAGCGAAAATTATATTTATGTGTAAACAGATAGGTAAAAGAAAAGTAATTTAGCGATAGTGTGTGCGTGTGCTTGTGTTGGAATTAAGTCGTCAGCTTACCCCGGAAAAAAAAGTTGTCGCTACTGCATTCCGGGGCAAAAGAAGAATGGGTGTTTATGTCTCTTCCTTTTAGAATCCTGAATATAAACGCCACCTAGCGGTGTTAAGCGAAGTCCATTGGCAGACAAGGTGGGTAACTTCGTAAAACTTGAATTTGTATCTCACATCCCGGGACTTCGTTTTATGTTGATGGCGTTTTACTAATTCTGCAACAGGAAACCTTCGGTAAAATACGCCCAAATTTATATTCATATTACCGTTTAGCGACACCAAATCCGCTGCTATCTTTTTAGATAAGAGTTCGGACATATTTGAATGATGAGGCTGAGAATTTGCGTCATAGTTTTTTTTTGGGGGGTGTTTTGCTTAGTTAAAATGAAGAAAAGTAGTAAAAGTCTGGTAATGAACAACTAAAGATGAACAAAAAGACTTTTTTGGAAGACACCAATTCTCATTCTCTGTCACTCATTCCTGTCACTTATTCTTTGTCTCTCATTCTCTGTCACTAATTCCCACACGATAGACTGTTACATTCTCAGTACGCAGTATGTATATTGGTAATGGTGAGATCAACCGTTTCCTAACTGGTGGTTGAATTTCAAATATGTTTCTCTTGAAACAATTTTTAAAGAAAATAGTCTTCTTAAGTCCACTAACTGTTATCGGTCTTTCTAATACTAATAGGAGTTTCCTTCCTAGCCTTTTGTTTAAGATAGTGTGGAAAGTCAGCATATTGATTATATCATTATTTTCCCGTCTAGTTAAATTCGCTATTTTAGTTGTTGCTGCTGTTGGAAGTCTTCAAGTTATATGGTTTTTGTCATTTGGTAAAGCTCTTTGTTCTGGATTCTGGAGCGCCAGATTTGATGAAGGGTTATCTTCTTTAAGATGCAGCGGATTCAATCGCTTGAAGCAATGTTCAATCATTGCTTTAAGCATATAGCTGATAATTTAGATATTACTGGACGAGTTGGACGACATTCACGACATCCACATGAGAGCCTCGTTCTGACGAGACTATTTAAGAATATGACTCGTATTTTCAGGCTAATGTTTTAGTTTTGTAGAAACGTGCGGTATTGAACAAATTACCCTCAGCTATGTTCAATTTCGAATAATTGATCCATAGATTACATTTTTTAAGATCTATATTGACTAACTTAGTGTTGGTTTTGAACGCATAAAGTATCAAAGAATTTCTTTTAAACCGACAATCCCAAAATAGTGGGAAGTATCAGCATTAACACTGTTAAGATAAAAAGGTAATCCTAAAGACCCTGATACGTTTAGTGTGATCTCATTTTGATCCATTTTGTGGAAAATAGTACCGTATTTTCCGGGCTATAACCAGCGACGTTTTTCTCGAAATATGTTGGGTGAGGGTTATATAACGGTGAGGGTTATAGATGAATTGTGTTTTCGAATCTTGAGTGGCCAAATACTAACTTAAAATAAATTTATCAGTGTAGCAGCACATAGAATATTCGGTTCTGTATAGTATTTCGTTAAATTATAACAGTCTACATTCAAGTCTTATCAGTAGCTTATGCATGATTGTATCATTATGGGAAAAATGGATGATCGAAGGGGAGCATAGCGTCGAGCCAGTTATTTCCAGATAGCTGAATGTGTACCCGAAGCTTGGGCGAACATCAAGGTCTCAACTATGAAGAACGGATTCCGTAAATCAGAATTGTTTGATGATTTTCTGCAATCCCAACCAACATCATAGAGCAATGACGATGAAGGCGATCCTACATTGGATAATTCAGACAAACATGGCGGCCTCACGGAATTGTACACCCAGCTTTACAAAGCTGACGGTTTTGAAAGTGAGTGACGGAATTCTCTGAATTTTTATGAAATAAAATCTTTTTGTAAGAATGGAAAATTATATTTCTCTATTAATTTTCGTATAAAACTACTAGGGCCCACTGTCAATACCTATATAAACCGTTAGTAACAATGAAATATCAAACAAAGAGGTGCGGGTTATACGACGGTGCGGGTTATACAAGGATTTTTTACTGAATTTATAGGAGTGCGGTTATATACAGCTGCGGATTATAGTGCGGAAAATACGGTAATGAATATTTTACTAATTGTTAAAGTCAGCGACCTAATTTGGCTTTCGTTCTGGTAAGGAGTGTAATGATGACTTATATATATATATCATCAGGCAACTCCAGGAAATTTCCTATCGAATAGAAAATTCTATACCTATGTTGACCTCACGACAGCATATGACAACATCATAAACCGTCTTCTAGCCTCTGGTTCTACTAAATACCATGATCCGATTTACCAAATGTATCAGTTCACAAAGTCGTATATGTCCGGCAAACACAGAATCATTCCAAACCTCATCAAGACTTCAAAACAAAGAGGAAATGAAGACCTTAATCTGTTTAGACTCTTTTTAGACTCTACTCTGTGCACGGATGGGAAGAAATGGACCATGATCTTTTAAACATTCCTTATCACAACATCCCAAAGGAGACTACTCTCAGAAAATAGCGTTTCTCTTTTACTCTCCAGAGGCTAGTGTATCGATGATAAGGGCCGCTATGTTGATTACTGTGGCATTCATAGTTAAGATAAAAATGATCATCACCTTCTAACAAGTGTCCCAAGAAATAAAAATCAAGATAAACCTTTCCAAAACAATATCTAACCTGGAATTGGATTGAAAACAGTATTATTATTTACCAGAATCCATCATAAAAATTTGAAATGTGGAATTAAAAAACACTAAACACTTAAAAAAAAAACTTAATCTATGGATCAATTATTAGAAATTGAACATAGCTGAGGGTAATTTGTTCAATACCACACGTTTCTACAAAACTAAAACATTAGCCTGAAAATACGAGTCATATTCTTAAATAGCCTCGTCAGAACGAGGCTCTCATGTGGATGTCGTGAATGGCATCCAACTCGTCCAGTAATATCTAAATTATCAGCTATATGCTTAAAGCAATGATTGAACATTGCTTCAAGCGATTTAATCCGCTGCATCTTAAAGAAGATAACCCTTCATCAAATCTGGCGCTACAGAATCCAGAACAAAGAGCTTTACCAAATGACAAAAACCATATAACTTGAAGACTTCCAACAGCAGCAACAACTAAAATAGCGAATTTAACTAGACGGGAAAATAATGATATAATCAATATGCTGACTTTCCACACTATCTTAAACAAAAGGCGAGAAAGAAAACTCCTATTAGTATTAGAAAGACCGATAACAGTTAGTGGACTTGAGAAGACTATTTTCTTTAAAAATTGTTTCAAGAGAAACATATTTGAAATTTAATCGATAGTAAAGAAACGGTTGATTTCTCCATTACCAAAAGTACAAGCTGCGTATTGAGAATGGGAACTAGTGACAGAGAACGAGTGACAGGGAATGAGAGACAAAGAATAAGTGACAGGAATGAGTGACAGAATGAGTGACAGAGAATGAATGACAGAGAATTAGTGACAGAGAATGAATGACAGGAATGAGAGACAGAGAATGAATGACAGGAATGAGATGAATGTGTGACAGGAATGAATGACAAAAGAATGAGGACAGGAATGAGAGACAGAGAATGAGTGACAGAGAATAAGTGACAGGAATGTGTGACAGAGAATTAGTGACAGAAAGAATGAATGACAGGAATGAGAAGAGTGACAGAATGAGTGACAGAGAATAAATGACAGGAATGAGTGACAGAGAATTAGTGACAGAGAATGAATGACAGGAATGAGAGACAGAGAATGAATGAACAGAATGGAATGAGTGACATGAATGTGTGACAGGAATGAGTGACAAAGAATGAATGACAGGAATGAGAGACAGAGAATGAGTGACAGAGAATAAGTGACAGGAATGAGTGACAGAGAATTAGTGACAGAGAATGAATGACAGGAATGAGAGACAGAGAATGAATGATAGGAATGAGTGACATGAATGTGTGACAGGAATGAGTGACAAAGAATGAATGACAGGAATGAGAGACAGAGAATGAGTGACAGAGAATAAGTGACAGGAATGAGTGACAGAGAATTAGTGACAGAGAATGAATGACAGAGAGTGAATGACAGGAATGAGTGACTGAGAAATCCGGAAGAACATATGAATTGCAAAAGATGTCTTCCAGAATCTAAGTAAAGCATGATGACATAGAAAAATATCGTTAGAAAAAAAAAGAAAGAAAAGAAAATAGTGCTGAACTGCTATGTAATATCTAATCTCCTACATAACAATAAAAACTGGACAATTCCATTAAGATGAAGAACAGACTCGAAGTTAAAGGACGTGGTGTTAAAGAAGGATGCTAAGAATATCATGGCCAGAGCATGTGAACAACCAGGAAGTCTTAAGGAAACTATGAACAAAAAAGAAAGCTAATATTTGCAATGAGAAAAAAGATGGACCGAATTTCTGGGAAACATTATGAGAAAAGGAGGTTTGGAGAGCTTAACACACACAGGATATATTAAAGGCAAGAGAAATGGGAGGAAACGGCGATTAACATACGTAGCGAGCTTATGTGAATAGATACCAGAAAAATGGTCAGTGAGGGGTGGAAAAGAGTAATAAAAAATACTTAAAATAAAAAAGGTAGGAAGTTGTGGAGATCCATGATCGCCCAATCCATGAAAAGACGTAGCATATAAAAGAAGATTAGCGGCATAATGTAACAACAACATACAACATAATACAAGCTAAAGAAATCATGACTGACGAGGCAGATTTTTTCCCGTAGTAGGTTGCCATTTCTTTCCGCAGTAGACCAGTTGCCATCCAAGGCTATAAAACCCAGTCTGTCCTGCTATTTACTCATAGCTAGAGGAGAGGAAAAGAATTCATACCTAACACAAGGGTATTAACACGTGAGTGAATCTAATGCATTCGACTGGAATTCGAACTCTGCTCTCCGATTCCTCAATTCGAGTCGCTATGCATTACTATACAACATATTACAAGCTAAAGATATCATGACGGACGAGGCAGATTTATTCCTGCAGTAGGTTTCTATTTCTTTCTGCGGTAGACCAGTTGCCATCCAAGGCTATAGAACCCGGTCTGTTCTGCTATTTACCTATAGCTGGAGGGAGAAGAAAAGGATTCGCACCTTTTCAAAGGGTATTAGCAAGTAAGTGAACGTAATTGTTTCGACTGGAATTCGAACTCGGCTCTCCGATTCCTCAATCTGAGCCGCTATCCATAACTCCACCGGCCTCATATTATACACTTCCTTACTTCTACCATTCCCCAACCTACAACAATCTCACTCATTAACACTCTACCTTGAGCGGCTCTTGAGCCTTTTATCAGGTGAACAGCAAAAAGAAAAAGCGACATCAAATTACTGCTCACTCAACGGAAGCCAACAATCAGTTTAAATTTCGCCCAATTTTCAAAACTGTGTGTCTGCTTAGTGAAATTGTAATTTGAGCTCGAATGTTTCCGGGCGTTATTTATTGATAAATGGATACAAAAAAGAAATGCCGGTGGGGTCCTTTATCTAAGCCTTTTTGAGAAAAAGCGGATAAAAACGAGACTGTTCTCTGTGATGGAAAAGATAACAAAAGTCGGTGACGGAGATAAAAAAAAAAAAAAAATGAATATAACAAAAATACCCAGAGGCACGCAAAAGGCCGATAGTTTTATCAAAGAGAAAGAGAGAAAGAGTGACTCTAGACAGAGAGAGACAGGTATAGAGAGGGGAAAGAGAGCGAGTAATAGAGAGAAAAGCAGAGAGAAAGGAAAAGAGAGAGAGAGAGAGAGTGAGAGGACGAGAAGCGGTAGACAGAAAGAAACAGGTATAGAGAAAAAATAGAGGGGGGAAGAGAGAGTGAGTAAACGAAAGAGAAGCAGAGATAAATGAAGAGAAGAGAAAGAGAAAAGAGAGTGTAGAGAGACAACGAGAGAGAGAGAGAGCGAGAAGCGATAGACAGAGAGAAGCAGAAAACAAAAGTGAAGAGAGAGAGAGAGCGAGTAAAAGAGAGAGAAATAAAGAGAAGAGCAAAAGAAAAGAGAGAATAGAGACAAAGAGAGCAAGCAAGAGAGAGAGAGAGAGAAGTGGTAGACGGAGAGAAGCAGGTAGAGAGAGAAAGCAGAGAGTTAGAGAAAGGGAGCGAGTAAAAGAGAAATGAAGAGAAGAGAAAGAGAAAAGTTGGAGTAGAGAGAGAAAGAAAAAAGAGAGGTTATCGAAAGAAAAATAGAGAACTTGAAACAGCCATTGAAACAAAGGTCTTGTGTACTGGAGCATTGCCCTCATGAAACAAGACACATTTCATCAGTTTTCCTAGGAATTTAGTCTCCATAGCCTTTCGTAACGGTCTCAGCAAGTTGGCATAGCACTGTCCATTGATAGTGTGGCCATCATCTTCCCTGTAGGTGAAGAGGGTTTTTTTTCGCTGCAAGGATTGTCACTGGCTCAAAGGGATGAACCCAACACTCATCCTGGGTTAGGAAACGTTCAAGGAAACCACCTGGATCTACCTGAAACAATGTCATATTTTCCCATGATGTGATCAGCCTGTTGCGCTTTTAACCAGTTGTCAGAAGACGTGACACCCATCGAGCAAAAACCTTCGTCATGCCAACTCCATTTGTGTAGAATATTCTCAACTCTCTCGTGGGATATGCTAATAGTATTGGCTATTTGATTTATAGTCAATCGCCCGTCATCCATCACTATGTAGTGAACACGATCAATATTTTCCTCGGTAAGTGGCAGTTTCAGGACGTCTAGACCTTGGGTAATCTTCAAGACTCTTCCTCCTCCTCCTAAATTTAACTGCCTACTTTTGTGACGTCGTCACCTAAGGTAGCAACTATGTCAACATGAACGTCTCAAGGACATTCATACTGACATGGTTAATACTAAACCCTGTTTCTGCAGTTACTTGATAACACCAGAATGCCAAATTTTGTCCACTTTTTTTGTCGCTACTAGTGTGTTTTGAAGTCTTCTCTGAACATTCAGATATCAGTTTACCTGGAAATTAGCAATGAAGTTATTAAAAGAAGAGATGAAATGAATTCATTCAAGATTCCACAGCTCTAGAATCACTCTTTCATAGCAGCCCCTCAACTTTTCAGCCCACCTTCGTACATGGAAAGAAACACTACAGCTCTTAATAAGAAGAGTTGAAATGAAAACATGCAAGATTCCACAGCCCTACCATCATTCTTTTCTAGTCAGCCCCTGAACGTTTCAGCCCACCTTCGTACATGGAAAGAAACAATACAGCTCTTAATAAGAAGAGTTGAAATGAAAGCATGCAAGATTCCACAGCTCTACCATCACTCTTTTCTAATCAGCCCCTGAACGTTTCAGCCCACCTTTGTACATGGAAAGATACAATACAGCTCTTAATAAGAAGAGTTGAAATGAAAGCATGCCAGATACCACAGCTCTACCATCACTCTTTTCTAGTCAGCCCCTGAACGTTTCAGCCCACCTTTGTACATGGAAAGATACAATACAGCTCTTAATAAGAAGAGTTGAAATGAAAGCATGCCAGATACCACAGCTCTACCATCACTCTTTTCTAGTCAGCCCCTGAACGTTTCAGCCCACCTTTGTACATGGAAAGATACAATACAGCTCTTAATAAGAAGAGTTGAAATGAAAGCATGCAAGATACCACAGCTCTACAATCACTATTTCCTAGTCAGCCCCTGAACGTTTCAGCCCACCTTCGTACATGGAAAGATACAATACAGCTCTTAATAAGAAGAGTTGAAATGAAAGCATGCAAGATTCCACAGCTCTACCATCACTCTTTTTCTAGTCAGCCCCTGAACGTTTCAGCCCACCTTTGTACATGGAAAGATACAATACAGCTCTTAATAAGAAGAGTTGAAATGAAAGCATGCAAGATACACATCACTCTTTTTTCAGTCAGCCCCTGAACGTTTCAGCCCACCTTTGTACACTAATACAGCTCTTAATAAGAAGAGTTGAAATGAAAGCATGCAAGTACAAACAGCTCTACCATCACTATTTCCTAGTCCCTGAACGTTTCAGCCCACCTTCGTACATGGAAAGATACAATACAGCTCTTAATAAGAAGAGTTGAAATGAAAGCATGCAAGATACCACAGCTCTACCATCACTATTTCCTAGTCAGCCCCTGAACGTTTCAGCCCACCTTCATTACATGGAAAGATACAATACAGCTCTTAATAAGAAGAGTTGAAATGAAAGCATGCAAGATACCACAGCTCTAACTCTTTTTCTAGTCAGCCCCTGAACGTTTCAGCCACCTTTGTACATGGAAAGATACAATACAGCTCTTAATAAGAAGAGTTGAAACCAAAGCATCAAGATACCACAGCTCTACCATCACTATTTCCTAGTCAGCCCCTGAACGTTTCATGGAAAGATACAATACAGCCTTTAAGAACAGTTGAAATGAAAGCATGCAAGATACCACAGCTCAATACTCTTTTCCTAGTCAGCCCCTGAACTTCAACCTTTGTAATGGAAAGATACAATACAGCTCTTTGAAAGTTGAAATGAAAGCATGCAAGATACCACAGCTCTACCATCACTATTTTTCTAGTCAGCCCCTGAACGTTTCAGCCCACCTTTGTACATGGAAAGATACAATACAGCTCTTAATAAGAAGAGTTGAAATGAAAGCATGCAAGATACCACAGCTCTACCATCACTATTTCCTAGTCAGCCCCTGAACGTTTCAGCCCACCTTGTACATGGAAAGATACAATGCTCTTAATAAGAAGAGTTGAAATGAAATACAATACAGCTCACCTCACTTAAGTCAGCCCCTGAACGAGCCCAGTACATGGAAAGATGACAGCTCTTAATAAGAAGAGTTGAAATGAAAGCATGCAAAGATACCACAGCTCTACCATCACTATTTCCTAGTCAGCCCCTGAACGTTTCAGCCCACCTTCGTACATGGAAAGATACAATACAGCTCTTAATAAGAAGAGTTGAAATGAAAGCATGCAAGATACCACAGCTCTACCATCACTCTTTTCTAGTCAGCCCTGAACGTTTGAACGTTTCATGCCCACAGCTCTCGTAACATTGAAAGATACAATACAGCTCTTAATAGTCAGCCCCTGAAGAAGAGTTGGAAAATGAAAGCTTAATAAGAAGAGTTGAAATGAAAGCATGCAAGATACCACAGCCTACCATCACTCTTTCCTAGTCAGCCCCTGAACTCTACCATACAATACAGCTCTTCTAAGAAGAGTTGAAATCATGCAAGTCAGCCTACCATCACTATTTTTCAGCCCTGAACGTTTTGTACATGGAAAGATACAATACAGCTCTTAATAAGAAGAGTTGAAATGAAAGCATGCAAGATACCACAGCTCTACCATCACTCTTTCCTAGTCAGCCCCTGAACGTTTCAGCCCACCTTCGTACATGGAAAGATACAATACAGCTCTTAATAAGAAGAGTTGAAATGAAAGCATGCAAGATACCACAGCTCTACCATCACTATTTCCTAGTCAGCCCCTGAACGTTTCAGCCCACCTTCGTACATGGAAAGATACAATACAGCTCTTAATAAGAAGAGTTGAAATGAAAGCATGCAAGATACCACAGCTCTACCATCACTATTTCCTAGTCAGCCCCTGAACGTTTCAGCCCACCTTCGTACCTTCGTACATGGAAAGATCACAATCACAGTTTCTTAATAAGAAGAGTTGAAATGAAAGCATGCAAGATTCCACAGCTCTACCATCACTCTTTTCTAGTCAGCCCCTGAACGTTTCAGCCCACCTTCGTACATGGAAAGAAACAATACAGATCTTAATAAGAAGAGTTGAAATGAAAGCATGCAAAGATTCCACAGCTCTACCATCACTCTTTTTCTAATCAGCCCCTGAACCACAGCATGGAAAGAAACAATACAGCTCTTAATAAGAAGAGTTGAAATGAAACATGCAAGATCAGCTCTACCTCTTTTCCTAGTCAGCCCCTGAACGTTTCAGCCCACCTTCGTACATGGAAAGATACAATACAGCTCTTAATAAGAAGAGTTGAAATGAAAGCATGCCAGATACCACAGCTCTACCATCACTCTTTCTAGTCAGCCCCTGAACGTTTCAGCCCACCTTCGTACATGGAAAGATACAATACAGCTCTTAATAAGAAGAGTTGAAATGAAAGCATGCAAGATACCACAGCTCTACAATCACTAATTTTCCTAGTCAGCCCCTGAACGTTTCAGCCCACCTTCGTACATACAATGCTCTTTAATAAGAAGAGTTGAAATGAAAGCACAAGATACCACAACTGAACGTTTCAGCCCACCTTCATACACACATGAAACAATACAGCTCTTAATAAGAAGAGCATGCAAGATTCCACAGCTCTACCATCACTCTTTTTCTAGTCAGTACATGGAAAGAAACCCCTTAATAAGAAGAGTTTTGCAAGATACCACAGCTCTACCATCACTTTTTTTAGTCAGTGAACGTTTCAGCCCATGTACATGGAAAGATACAATACAGCTCTTAATAAGAAGAGTTGAAATGAAAGCATGCAAGATACCACAGCTCTACAATCACTATTTCCTAGTCAGCCCCCTGAACGTTTCAGCCCACCTTCGTACATGGAAAGATACAATACAGCTCTTAATAAGAAGAGTTGAAATGAAAGCATGCAAGATACCACAGCTCTACCATCACTATTTCCTAGTCAGCCCCTGAACGTTTCAGCCCACCTTCGTACATGGAAAGATACAATACAGCTCTTAATAAGAAGAGTTGAAATGAAAGCATGCAAGATACCACAGCTCTACCATCACTATTTCCTAGTCAGCCCCTGAACGTTTCAGCCCACCTTCGTACATGGAAAGAAACAATACAGCTCTTAATAAGCTCTTAATAAGAAGAGTTGAAATGAAAGCATGCAAGATACCACAGCTCTACCATCACTCTTTTCATGAAGTTTCAGCCCAAAGACAGCTCTTAATAAGAAGAGTTGAAATGAAAAGCATGCAATACCAGCTCTAATCACTCTTTTCTAGTCAGCCCCTGAACGTTTCAGCCCACCTTTGTACATGGAAAGATACAATACAGCTCTTAATAAGAAGAGTTGAAATGAAAGCATGCAAGATTCCACAGCTCTACCATCACTATTTTTCTAGTCAGCCCCTGAACGTTTCAGCCCACCTTTGTACATGGAAAGATACAATACAGCTCTTAATAAGAAGAGTTGAAATGAAAGCATGCAAGATACCACAGCTCTACCATCACTATTTCCTAGTCAGCCCCTGAACGTTTCCAGCCCACCTTCGTACATGGAAAGATACAATACAGCTCTTAATAAGAAGAGTTGAAATGAAAGCATGCAGCTCTACCATCACTATTTCCTAGTCAGCCCCTGAACGTTTCAGCCCACCTTCGTACATGGAAAGATACAATACAGCTCTTAATAAGAAGAGTTGAAATGAAAGCATGCAAGATACCACAGCTCTACCATCACTCTTTCCTAGTCAGCCACTGAACGTTTCAGCCCACCTTCGTACATGGAAAGAAACAATACAGCTCTTAATAAGAAGAGTTGAAATGAAAGCATGCAAGATTCCACAGCTCTACCATCACTCTTTTCTAATCAGCCCCTGAACGTTTCAGCCCACCTTCGTACATGGAAAGAAACAATACAGCTCTTAATAAGAAGAGTTGAAATGAAAGCATGCAAGATTCCACAGCTCTACCATCACATTTTCTAGTCAGCCCCTGAACGTTTCAGCCCACCTTCGTACATGGAAAGAAACAATACAGCTCTTAATAAGAAGAGTTGAAATGAAAGCATGCAAGATACCACAGCCTCTACCATCACTCTTTCTAGTCAGCCCCCACAGCTCATGGAAAGACCAATACAGCTCTTAATTTGAAATGAAAGCATGCAAGATACCACAGCTCTACCATCACTCTTTTCTAGTCAGCCCCTGAACGTTTCAGCCCACCTTTGTACATGGAAAGATACAATACAGCTCTTAATAAGAAGAGTTGAAATGAAAGCATGCAAGATACCACAGCTCTACAATCACTATTTCCTAGTCAGCCCCTGAACGTTTCAGCCCACCTTCGTACATGGAAAGATACAATACAGCTCTTAATAAGAAGAGTTGAAATGAAAGCATGCAAGATACCACAGCTCTACCATCACTATTTCCTAGTCAGCCACTGAACGTTTCAGCCCACCTTCGTACATGGAAAGAAACAATACAGCTCTTAATAAGAAGAGTTGAAATGAAAGCATGCAAGATTCCACAGCCCTACCTACCTAGTCACGTTTCAGTACATGGAAAGAAACCACCTTTAAGAAGAGTTGAAATGAAACATTTCAGCCAAGAACTTTACAATAAGAAGAGTTGAAATGAAAAAGCATCAAGCCACTGAACGTTCAGCTTTTAATAAGAAGAGTGGAATGAAAGCATCGTTTCAGCCCACCTTCGTACATGGAAAGAAACAATACAGCTCTTAATAAGAAGAGTTGAAATGAAAGCATGCAAGATTACCACAGCTCTACCATCACTCTTTTCATCAGCCCCTGAACGTTTCAGCCCACCTTTTACACATGGAAAGATACAATACAGCTCTTAATAAGAAAGTTGAAATGAAAGCATGCAAGATACCACAGCTCTACCATCACTTTTTCAGTCAGCCCCTGAACGTTTCAGCCCACCTTTGTACATGGAAAGATACAATACAGCTCTTAATAAGAAGAGTTGAAATGAAAGCATGCAAGATACCACAGCTCTACCATCACTATTTCCTAGTCAGCCCCTGAACGTTTCAGCCCACCTTCGTACATGGAAAGATACAATACAGCTCTTAATAAGAAGAGTTGAAATGAAAGCATGCAAGATACCACAGCTCTACCATCACTCTTTTCTAGTCAGCCCCTGAACGTTTCAGCCCACCTTTGTACATGGAAAGATACAATACAGCTCTTAATAAGAAGAGTTGAAATGAAAGCATGCAAGATACCCACAGCTCTACCTAGTCACTCTTTTCCTAGTCAGCCACTGAACGTTTCAGCCCACCTTCGTACATGGAAAGAAACAATACAATTTAATAAGAAGAGTTGAAATGAAAGCATCTTATCACTATTTTCTAGTCAGCCCTGAAGAGTTGAAATGGAAAGCATGCAAAGATACCACAGCTCTACCATCACTCTTTTCTAGTCAGCCCCTGAACGTTTCAGCCCACCTTCGTACATGGAAAGAAACAATACAGCTCTTAATAAGAAGAGTTGAAATGAAAGCATGCAAGATTCCACAGCTCTACCATCACTCTTTTCTAGTCAGCCCCTGAACGTTTCAGCCCACCTTCGTACATGGAAAGATACAATACAGCTCTTAATAAGAAGAGTTGAAATGAAAGCATGCAAGATACCACAGCTCTACCATCACTATTTCCTAGTCAGCCACTGAACGTTTCAGCCCACCTTCGTACATGGAAAGAAACAATACAGCTCTTAATAAGAAGAGTTGAAATGAAAGCATGCAAGATACCACAGCTCTACCATCACTCTTCCCTAGTCAGCCCCCTGAACGTACAATTCTTAATAAGAAGAGTTGAAATGAAAGCCCACATGTACATGAACGTTTCAGAAAGAAACAATACAGCTCTTAATAAGAAGAGTTGAAATGAAAGCATGCAAGATACCACAGCTCTACCATCACTCTTTTCTAGTCAGCCAGACGAACGTTTCAGCCCACCTTCGTACATGGAAAGATACAATACAGCTCTTAATAAGAAGAGTTGAAATGAAAGCATGCAAGATACAGCTCTACCATCACTCTTTTCTAGTCAGCCCCGAACGTTTCAGCCCACCTTTGTACATGGAAAGATACAATACAGCTCTTAATAAGAAGAGTTGAAATGAAAGCATGCAAGATACCACAGCTCTACCATCACTCTTTCCTAGTCAGCCCCTGAACGTTTCAGCCCACCTTCGTACATGGAAAGATACAACAATACAGCTCTTAATAAGAAGAGTTGAAATGAAAGCATGCAAGATACCACAGCTCTACCATCACTATTTCCTAGTCAGCCCCTGAACGTTTCAGCCCACCTTCGTACATGGAAAGATACAATACAGCTCTTAATAAGAAGAGTTGAAATGAAAGCATGCAAGCCTACCATACCAGTCAGCTCTAGCCCACCTTCACTGGAAATTTCTTAATAAGAAGAGTTGAAATGAAAGTCAAGATACCACCCCTACCAACGTTTCTAGTCAGCCACCTTCGTACATGGAAAGATACAATACAGCTCTTAATAAGAAGAGTTGAAATGAAAGCATGCAAGATACCACAGCTCTACCATCACTATTTCCTAGTCACCCTGAACGTTTCAGCCCACCTTTACATGGAAAGATACCAGCTTTTTAATAAGAAGAGTTGAAATGAAAGCATCAAGATACCACCACTACCATCACTATTTCTAGTCAGTTTCAGCCCACCTTCGTACATGGAAAGAAACAATACAGCTCTTAATAAGAAGAAAAGAGATTGCTCTACCATCACTCTTTTCCTAAATGAAAGCCCACCTTTGTACATGGAAAGATTCCACAGCCTCTACCATCACTCTTTTTCTAGTCAGCCACTGAACGTTTCAGCCCACCTTCGTACATGGAAAGAAACAATACAGCTCTTAATAAGAAGAGTTGAAATGAAAGCATGCAAGATACCACAGCTCTACCATCACTATTTTCTTCAGCCCCTGAACGTTTCAGCCCTACCATACAGCTCTTAATAAGAAGAGTTTCATGCAAGATACCACAGCTAGTCAGCCCTGAACGTTTCAGCCCACCTTTGTACATGGAAAGATACAATACAGCTTTTAATAAGAAGAGTTGAAATGAAAGCATGCAAGATACCACAGCTCTACCATCATATTTCCTAGTCAGCCCCTGAACGTTTCAGCCCACCTTCGTCATGGAAAATAAAATACAGCTCTTAATAAGAAGAGTTGAAATGAAAGCATGCAAGATACCACAGCTCTACCATCACTTTTCCTAGTCCCCTGAACGTTTCAGCCCACCTTCGTACATGGAAAGATACAATACAGCTCTTAATAAGAAGAGTTGAAATGAAAGCATGCAAGATACCACAGCCCTACCATCACTCTTTACTAGTCAGCCACTGAACGTTTCAGCCCACCTTCGTACATGGAAAGAAACAATACAGCTCTTAATAAGAAGAGTTGAAATGAAAGCATGCAAGATACCACAGCTCTACCATCACTTTTCCTAGTCAGCCCCTGAACGTTTTCAGCCCACCTTCGTACATGGAAAGATACAATACAGCTCTTAATAAGAAGAGTTGAAATGAAAGCATGCAAGATACCACAGCTACCATCATCTTTTCTAGTCAGCCCCTGAACGTTTTAGCCCACCTACATGGAAAGATACAACAGCTCTTAATAAGAAGAGTTGAAATGAAAGCATGCCAGATACACAGCTCTACCATCACTATTTCCTAGTCAGCCCCTGAACGTTTCAGCCCACCTTCGTACATGGAAAGATACAATACAGCTCTTAATAAGAAGAGTTGAAATGAAAGCATGCTAATCAATAAGAAGAGTTGAAATGGAAAGATACCACAGCTCTACCATCACTATTTCCTAGTCAGCCCTGAACGTTTCAGCCCACCTTCGTACATGGAAAGAAACAATACAGCTCTTAATAAGAAGAGTTGAAATGAAAGCATGCAAGATACCACAGCCCTACCATCACTCTTTCCTAGTCAGCCCTGAACGTTTCAGCCCACCTTCGTACATGGAAAGAAACAATACAGCTTTTAATAAGAAGAGTTGAAATGAAAGCATGCAAGATTCCACAGCTCTACCATCACTCTTTTCTAGTCAGCCCCTGAACGTTTCAGCCCACCTTCGTACATGGAAAGAAACAATACAGCTCTTAATAAGAAGAGTTGAAATGAAAGCAAGATGCAAGATTCCACAGCTTCTACATGGAAAGAAACATCACTCTTAATTTTTCATGCAAGATTAGCTCTACCATCACTATTTCAGCCCCTGAACGTTTCAGCCCACCTTCGTACATGGAAAGAAACAATACAGCTCTTAATCTAAGCCCCTGAAGAGTTGATACAATACAAATGAAAGCATGCAAGATACCACAGCTCTACCATCACTATTTCCTAGTCAGCCCCTGAACGTTTCAGCCCACCTTCTACCATCACTCTTAATTTCCATAGATCAGCTCTACCATCCCCTAGTCAGCCCCTGAACGTTTCAGCCCACCTTCGTACATGGAAAGATACAATACAGCTCTTAATAAGAAGAGTTGAAATGAAAGCATGCAAGATACCAAGCTCTACCATCACTCTTTCCTAGTCAGCCCTGAACGTTTCATCGTACATGGAAAGATACAATTCTTAATAGTTGTCAGCCCCTGAACTTTTCTAGTCAGCCACTGAACGTTTCAGCCCACCTTCGTACATGGAAGAAACAATACAGCTCTTAATAAGAAGAGTTGAAATGAAAGCATGCAAGATACCACAGCTCTACCATCACTCTTTCCTAGTCAGCCCTGAACGTTTCAGCCACCTTCGTACATGGAAAGATACAATACAGCTCTTAATAAGAAGAGTTGAAATGAAAGCATGCAAGATTCCACAGCCCTACCATCACTCTTTTCAGCCCTAATCAGCCCCTGAACGTTTCAGCCCACCTTTGTTTACATGGAAAGAAACAATACAGCTCTTAATAAGAAGAGTTGAAATGAAAGCATGCAAGATTCCACAGCTCTACCATCAGCCCCTGAACGTTTTTCCTAGTCAAGCCCCTTAATAAGAAGAGTTGAACCTTTTTCTAGCCCACCGTTTTTTGTACATGGAAAGAAACAATACAGCTCTTAATAAGAAGAGTTGAAATGAAAGCATGCAAGATACCACAGCTCTACAATCACTATTTCATAGTCAGCCCCTGAACGTTTCAGCCTAATGAAAACAATAGAGCTCTTAATAAGAAGAGTTGAAATGAAACTTAATAGAAGACATTTACCACAGCTCTACCATCACTCTTTTCTAGTCAGCCACTGAACGTTCGTACATGGAAAGAAAGAATACAGCTCTTAATAAGAAGAGTTGAAATGAAAGCATGCAAGATACCACAGCTCTACCATCACTATTTCCTAGTCAGCCCCTGAACGTTTCAGCCCACCTTCGTACATGGAAAGAAACAATACAGCTCTTAATAAGAAGAGTTGAAATGAAAGCATGCAAGATACCACAGCTCTACCATCACTCTTTCTAGTCAGCCACTGAACGTTTCAGCCCACCTTCGTACATGGAAAGAAACAATACAGCTCTTAATAATAGAAGAGTTGAAATGAAAGCATGCAAGATTCCACAGCTCTAC